TTTAAATATCTTGGAAATAGTTTTTGAAGACTTACAAGATTATTTCCCCGATTTGTGTATATCCCAATTCTTTGTCTGAAATCATGGATATATTTATCATCAGTCCTTTCTAGAAAGTACCTATTTGTTTACTATTCACTTACTTCATACATACCAAATCTTCATTTATAATCTTTTCTGCTTTCAAATGAACTAGGACTTATCACTTATCACTTAACTTCCCGTTAGTCGTCGATTTGCTCGAGCGGGCGCCAGTAACGTCTCCATTTGTCCCTGTCGCGTGCTAGTGTAGCCCAATGGCATCTCTTCGCTCCGGGAACATGGAGGGCCTCAAACCGATCGTTCATGATCTTGACAAAGAAGTCTGACCATCTGGTAGGTGGGCGGCCACGCGGTCTCTTGACATCCCGTGGAATCCAATCAGTAACAGCTCTAGTCCAACGGTCGTCTTTAAATCTCATTACGTGACCAGCCCATCTGATTTTCGACACCTTGGCAAATGAGACAGCGTCCCTGATCCTTGATCGTCCACAGATGTCAGAACTCCGGATTCTCTCTCTCATTTGAGTGAAACGTGATATTCCAAGCATAGCTCTTTCTATTCTTCTTTGGGAGACCTGAATGGCGTTCTCATCTTGTTTGCGTAGGGCCCAGGTCTCTGAGGCATATGTTAATGCAGGAAGAACAGTGGAATCAAAGAGATGTGCCCGGAGCCGGAGGTTCTTCGTCCTCTTAGCTATTTCTTCGACGTTCTTGAAGGCGTTCCAAGCCGCTCTCTTCCTCCTGCGCAGCTCGGGTGCCAGGTCATTTGTCATGTTGACCTCTCGACCTAGGTACACATAGCTGTTGCATTCGGAGATGGTCATTCCATTGAGAGCGAATGGGGCGATCGATCTGCCTATTGTCTGTCATCTACAAGTTGTTCACTCGAGTCATCCTGAATAGGATTGGCAGAACACTAGATGAAGGACAACCATGTGAGCAAGCCAGGTTCCGCAAAGGATTCAGCACCATCGACCATATCCACACGATAACCAAGCTCATTGAGGTTTCTCGGGAGTTCAAGATGCCGCTCTGCTTAATGTTTATTGATTTAAAGAAGGCCTTTGATTCTGTTGAGACGGAAGCGGTCATTGAAGCCCTAGCCAATCAGGGCATTCAAGCCCAATACATCAGGATCCTCCGTGAGCTGTATTGCGGATTCACTACCAGGATCTCACCATTCTACAAAGAAGTGATCGTTGATGTCAAGAGAGGGGTGCGGCAGGGTGATACCATTTCACCGAACTAGGACTTATGAAACAGAAAATGGGTTTACGCACTCACCTTGCCTGCAGCCTGCTTGTTCAGGCACCTCTGGAACATTCCCTGGGCACCACATGGAATGACAAAAATTAAAATATTCAAGTGAGGGGCTGGATCAATAGCACAGGGATAGGTTGTTTGCCTTGCAAGCGCCCAACCCAGGTTCGATTCCCAGCATCCCATATGGTCCTCCGAGCACCCAGGAGTAATTCCTGAGTGCATGAGCCAGGAGTAACCTCTGTGCAATGCCGGGTATAACCCAAAAAGGAAAAAAAAATTAAAGTGAACCATTGTCATGAAAATATAAGATAGTACTTTGGTTGTAATGTCTGAGCCGAATTAGGTTCCTCCACCTGTCTTGGAGATCCCGGCAATCTACAGAGAGTATGTCATCCACACGGCAAAGCCTGGCTACCCATCACATATTCGATATGCCAAACACAGTAACAACAAGTCTCACAATGGAGATGTTACTGGGCCCACTCAAGCAAAATCAATAAATAACAGGAGGACAGTGACAGTGACAGTGACTTTGGTTGGAAAAAGCAAATATTTATAGGCTTATCCCTTTAGTATCTCACCTGTCACTGTCACTGTTCTCCCATTGTTCATCGATTTGCTCCAGCGGGCCCAGTAACGTCTCCATTGTGAGACTTGTTACTGTGTTTGGCATATCCAATGCATCACGGGGAACTTGCCAGGCTTTGCCATGTGGGTGAGATGCTCTCAGTAGTTTTCCAGGCTCTCCGAGAGGGACGGAGGAATCAAACCCAGGTTGGCCAAGTTGGCAATGTGCAAGGCAGACACCCTACTGCTGTGCTATCACTCCAACCCATTATTATCTCACCTACAGAGTAAAAATTCTCCTGCTTTTCATGGTGATTGTTGGTTGAACAAACCATTGAGATATGGAAAAGGATTCCCAGTTTGATCATTTTATTTCCTTTATTTTATAAAGTCATGGAAATTGAGTTATAAGATGTCAAAAATAATTTTTTATTAGAACACTGTCGTTTACAAAGTTGCTCATAATAGAGTTGTTTTAAGTACACAGTGTCCTACCACCAGTGCCCCCTTTCCTCTGCCAGTGTCCCCGGGTTCCATCCTACCACCCAGCCTAATTAATTAACTAATTAGTTAATTAGGCATATAACTAATTTATTTCCTGTCACTTGAGCAAAACTTAAGAGAATGACATGTTCTCTAAACTTTCCATTAGTATTTAGATGGGAACCTGGAGTCACACAGTTGTGAGTTGATGAAAAACAATTAAAAAGCTGTTTACCCAGGCCAGAACAGTGGGTTGGGCATTTTCCTTGCATGTGACTGACCTGAGTTTCATTCCCAGCCTCCCATATGGTCTGTCACACACCACCAGGAGTAATTCCTAAGGGCAGAGCCAGTAGTAACCCCCTGAGCACAGCTAGGTAAGGCTCCCAAACTAACAACTGTAGCACTGTCACTGTCCTCCCGTTGTTCATCGATTTGCTCGAGCAGGCCCAGTAACATCTCCCTTGTGAGACTTGTTATTACTATGTTTTGGCATATCGAATACATCATGGAGAACTTTCCAGGCTTTTCTGTGTGGGCAAGATACTCTCAGTACCTTGCTGTGCTCTCCGAGAGGGGCGGAGGAATTGAATGTGGGTCGGCCCAGCTAGCCGCTTGCAAGGCAAATGCCCTACCCACAGTACTGCCAGTCCAGTTTAAAACAACAAATAATTATTTCATATTATTTTGGTCCAAAAGACTGTACTGCATCAGGTGAAGGTTTATCACTGTCTTGGGTAAAATTGCTCAATCTCTCAATGGACGTAGAAATCACAGTAAACCTGGAAGTCTTCTGTACTCCTGCCATGGCCATGGATCACACTTTCCGTGGCCTCTTGAATCACAGTGGGTAGAGAAGCCACGTTCACCCAGAGGATTGCACACCCCCAGGCTTCTATGTTCTCTCACTGAGACCCCGAAGAAGGTCACTTGACCTCTCAGGGCCTAGGGATTAGTCTATGGTTAGTCTATGGTTAGTCTATGGTTAGTCTATGGATTGAGATTCCAGCATCAGACTATGGAGAAGAGAGTCTGGCTACATCCTGCCTGGCCTGAGAGGCCTCAGCTTTTAAAACAAAACTGAGACTAAGGAGAGGGGCAAGTGGCATCACGGCAGGGAAGGGCTGTGGACCCCAGGGGTCTGCGTTAATGTTGAAACCTCATGCCCATAAAACCCTACCAGTACTGCAAATCACTGTACTTAAAACTTAGAAAGAAATCAGAAAAACTTTACATAAAAATTTAAAATAACCTTGTTATGGAACTGCAGTAAGAACATAGGCCAGAATTAGTGATGTGTCGCAAAATATTCCAAATAGCATTGAGCATAATTTCTCCATTTTGTGTCCTTTACAGAAATAGTAATGTCCGAAGAATTTATGCTGGTGTTAAGGACATCTTGTCCAATAAATTTTTTTATTCCAGTCATTTCTTAATTCCAGTCCAAAAATGTAAAAATCAACTATGGCCAGAGAGAGAGAGACAGAGAGAGAGAGAAAGTTTCCACAGCAGGTAGGGCACTTGCCAGGCACATGGGCACATGGTCACCCCAGGCTTGATTCTTGGCTCTGCAGAGGGTCCAGGAGTGAGCCCTGAGCATGGCCATGTGTTGCCCCCAAACAAGGATGCCAACAAGGAAACAGCAGTGCACAGCCCTTCCACAAGCTCTTGCTCCTGGCAGTGGACTCTGCGTGTGATGAAGATGCCTGAGAAAACAGGATGTTGTGAAGCAGATGAGGGTTAGATGGCTCTCCAGGCTGTGATCATTGCTGGGCGTTCCTCCCCTGGAAGGGCTGAGAAACAGTAAAGAATAAGAATGTTAGTGATTTTATTCTCCTGACTCTACAGTAGGGTGTTTGGACATGGAAGAAGATGCCTGGTGGGTGCACAGGTGCCCACAAGTCATTTCTTCCTTCTTTTTCCTTCCAGCCCTGGCTGCCTTGGCTAGGGATGGGAGAAAGTCTTCCAAGGCTGTATTTTCTGTTTTACAACCTCGGCCCCTTCAAGTCCCAGCTCCATCTTCAGCTGGGTCCATGTGTCCATACTTCCTGTTTCGGCCTCAGGCCTGTCTTTGATCTGCTGCCCAAGGGACGGCGTCTTGAACTGTTTCCTGCACAACGGATGCCATCCCAAGTGCTCGCACACACCCAACACTAAAGAGGAATTTCTTGCTTCCCCAAGCGAGTGGCCCCTCAACCATTTGGTTTCTTTCATGAGAGCTTGTCAACACCGGATGCCGCAAACAACAGTCACTGCTCCTGAGTTGCTAAACATGCACCCGTCAGTGCAGGCGAGTCCATGAGTCTGTTCTAGCCCTTTCCGTCTCGTAAGAAGAACCAGAAGGAAAACAAAACTGGGATGAGGCTGTCACCTCCTCCCCGCCTGCAGTGACTGCAGCACACCCAGGCTCGCTCCGGATCTGTCAGCATATTCCCACCGGGTTCCTCTGGATGATTCACTTGGCCTATGCATGGCTCACTGTGGAGACGCCTGCCCAGTTCAGCCTGTGTCCAGATGGAGGGGGGCAGGGGCAGCGGCCCCGAGGGCGCCTCAGCCTCCCGGGTCCTTCGGGAGTGGAAAGAGGAAGTTTTCATTTCAGAGACGTGTCAGTGTCCTGACTTGCTCCCCCTTCCTTTCTTCCTCAGGTGCCCTCGTGAAAATTTCGCCTCTTTCCTCCCCCTCCTCCTCGCCTCTGCAAGGGACACCGGCCAGTAGCCCGGTCAGCAAAATTTCGGCAGTGCAGTTTCCAGAATCTGCAGACACAACTGCCAAAGGAGGCCTGGGCTCCCACAGAGCCTTGACTTACACTCAGAGCGCCCCAGACCTGCTGCCCCCGCTCCTGACGCCACCTGCATTATGTAGCAGGTAAGGACCGAGGCAGGGAGTGGACAACAGAATTCATCTCGGGTTTTCCCTGAATAACACCACCTCCAAGGCCACCCAGCAGTGCTGAGGTGTGCCGGAATAGTTGGCGAAGTACAGGATAATGTGATCTGTGTTGCCCGGGCTGTAATAGAAATTCTTTCTGTTCAGTGGTTTTCTATTACTAGACCGTTTTGAGTCCTTATGGCCCCAACACAGCTGATCCTTGGGGATAATATAAAATAACTATGTTTTTCCCTCCTAGCTGGTTGAGACTGCATTAGACAGGTAATGCCAAAACTATATCAAGTCATGGATACAATTTGATACTTTATCGGAATACTATGCCTCTCTCAGGAGGTTGCATTGACTGAAAGGTATTTCATCCTAAATTTGTTAAGTCTTCACTTTTTTTTTTCATCCCCACCTTGCTTTCTCATTATGGCTGGACTCAAATGGGCCCCTGGAATTAACTCAGAAATTGCTTTTACTACTCTGTCTTGTTGGAATAGAATTACAAGGCAGGGAATTAGGAAAATGGGCCTTCCTGGAGAGAGTAGTTATTTTGCTAATGTTGTCACTAAGAAAGAAAGGGCCCTTCTTATAGATTAACATATCATAGCTGTTCTTTACTAATAGGCTCATCCAAACGAATTGATCTTCAAGCAGAAAAATCATTTTAAAATAGAAGTGTGTTCAACTAGGTATAATCATGAAGTTACCTTAAATCAAATGTTCTCCTACCTGATGTGAAGGGGGGTAAGATTTGAATAAATTAGTTACATGTCGGACTTCTAACATCACATGTAGGTTCACAGACTCAGATCAGTGTGATCCATTTAAACTCACAAATGTTATCTTCAGATGCTTACAAACTCTCTAAGTTAGATATTTTTATCCTGTTTATTATTTCCTCAATAAAAAGTTTTTTAGGGAAAGTTCATCTTTCTTTGCTCAAGGTCAGGTTGGCAAGTTAGTCTAAGAGAGGGAGCAAAAAGGCTGGAGCACATACATTGCATATGGAAGCCCCAGGTCTCATCCCCAACACTACATGGTCCCCTGAGCACTGCACCAGGAGTGACCAACCTCCGAGCAGCAATGAATGCCCAAAAATAAGAACAGAAAATCAACACCCCTCCCCAAGCCAGTCTCTCATCTAGAAGTTACTCTCCAGTTCTCTCTAGGACAGCTTTTTAATAAAATTATTTCTGTGGGCTTCGAATGCCTCTTTCTCCCCCCCCCCCCCCCCGCAGCTCCCCCTGTCCCCACCAAAGAAATCTGTTTTGAGGGGAAGCAGGCATATCAGGTTTCCCTCTTCACCATCAAGACACACATCGCTTTATTAAGCCCCGAGAATCCCAGTAAAAGAAAACCTCCTGATTTTTGTTTCATCCAGTGCTTTCTGAATTTATGTGACCGCAGAACCCGTTTCTTTAGGTTAACACCCAGTAACTGCCCCCGCATCTGGCCCTTGGCAGAGCACCCCTAAGGAACATTCTTTGCGGTGGGATTCCTGGGCCAGAAGGAAGCACAGTGCAACCCAAGCACCTCTGTCTGCAGTATTTCTGGGGAGTCTGGCATGGTGTGGGGTTGAGGGGGGAACTCCCAACTTTGGGGCTGAAGTCCCCCGAGGAAGGGGAGAGAAGTTTCGCAGAATCTAGCCATCATCCTGCTTTCTCTTGCTCTCTCCTCATTGCTGCCATTGTGTATTCTGAGCAGGAACAATGTAATGGGATCTTCACAAAAGAGGTTTGGGAGGAAAACAAGGGGATTTCACTGCCTACTTGTTCAGTCGTGTTTATAAATCCAGTAGTGTGTGTTTTATTTGTTTGGGCTTTATAAATCTATAATTCAAACCATGTTTTATTATTGCCTTCAAGGCAGCCACCCATGTAGACACAGAGAGCTCCAGAAACACACGACTAATTCTTGTGGTTTCCCCCTGTGAACTCACAGGGTTTGGCGTTGAATCACGGGCCCTTGGCTGATGCAGTGTCTATGCAATGAGCTGGGTTTTGGGCCTCAGAGGGAGCAGCTTTAAATTACCACTTTAACTGTTCCCTTTAAGCATATCTTGCAACGAAGAGTCTTGAAATGAATAGACTCTCCCAAGTTTCAGCTGAGAATGTAAGGCCATCTGTTTTTTTTTTTTTTTTTTGCTTTAACCTTGGCCTTTTGAGACCCCAAATCAAATGATGGGATTTTAGAATTAGAAATAGTGTGTTTGTGTGTGCTTTGCCTCTCCCATTCAAGACCACCTTAAAAAGTAAATGGTCTTAGATGATGAGACCCTCTCGCTAAGAAATGCTTATATCCACTGCACATAAAAACCCATTCAGGAAGAAAATGTGGAGATGGTTACTAGATTAAATAACAAACTTCTTTCTTTTTTGGGTGAGTAATCTGTGGGAACATAACAAATAAACAAACACCCTGTGAGACCCCTCAGTAATATTAGACAGAAGGACAGAATCCAGACGCAAATGCAGAATAAAAATCTGACCACCAAGTCTCCAAACAAGATGAATGAGAGAGGAAGCGGCCAGGCCATTAGTGGGGTGGCTGTTTTTAATTTTTTAAATGGTGAAAACTGTTGAGAAAGCAAAAAAATCCCACACTCTCGAATCCTTCTCTGTGAAAGAGTTCTGTCCAGCTCTGGAGAACCTTCCTTTTTCTCTGTAGGCATGAAAGCAGGCACAGTGGGGGTTCACTGGGAAGCTGTTATTGACCTATCACCAGTCAGGTCAGCACCCTGAAGTCACTATTATAAATAAGTAGTAGCCTGTCCCAGATTCCCTAAAGTAATGTCAGATCTTTGCTACTCAGATATGGTCTAGATTCCATGGAGGAGGGTGGAATAGTTATAAATTTTCCTCTTCCTTGTATTGATCATACTGTAAAATGAAATGATACAGATACATAATACTGCCTATTAAACTCCATAAAAATATATATATACACATATTCTATCTATTACTATTCATATACACACATATGCACATGTACTACCTATTAGCATTCATATATACATATGCTTGCACATATATACTACCTATTAGCATTCACATGTACATATATGTGTATATGTATGTATGTATGTACATATATGTGTACATGTGTGTAATATATGTACATATATGTACATGTGTATATGTATACTGCCTAGCTGCATCATACATATGCATATACTGCCCACTGGAATCCACATATACGTATATGCATATATATATACTGCCTGTTCACATCATATATAAACACATATTCTGCCTAATAGCATCCATATACACATGTACTATTTATAAGCATCCACATATACAGATATACAAATATAATGCCTATTATATTCCATGTATATATATATACACTGCTTATAACATCCATTATACATATATACATATGCACCTATACTGCCTGTTAGCATATCTATATAACATACAGATATACTGCCTGTTATCATCCATGTCCGTATACATATGCATATATGCTGTTGACAACACCCATCGTGTTGCTGAGATCTTTCTCTGTCAAACAAGCCAAAGGAAGAAATACTTGATCGGGTTCTATGAAGCTCACATACGAGTCATGCCTGCCAGGATTGGCACCTCTCACACCTGTTTGTGTTTCTCAGCTGTGGCAGACCCTACTCCCAAGAGAGTCCTGCGGACGAGCCCCTGGAGAGAAGCACTACAGCAATCCGGGCTCCAAGCAGAACAGGTAACTCTCTGGGTTCCGTTCCGTAGAAAAGACATTTTGTTTTCTGATCAAAAATATTACACATCTTCCTGTTGTTGTTTCTTTGAATGGCACTCAATGACACTGTAGGAAATCAAACTTAGCCACAGCAAAACATGGGGAAAATGTTGGTGCAGAACTGCCCAAAATGTTCCAGTACATCTGCCCACAAGTATGTGTGTTTACACAACAGTGAGTATATGTAAATGGGTATGTATCTATGAATACACATGTATTTGAATAAGATACATATGTAATATTTACAACTCTACATTATGGATTGGTTATATTGGGTATTGAGGGTGATTCAGTTTATGTTTCGTATTTTTATTTGTTCTAAGGTCACAGGCAGCAGTGCTTCGGGTTTAGTCCTGGCTCTGCACTCAGGGATCACCCCTGGTAGGACTGGGTATCCATGGGGTGCCAATTATCTTAACCTGAGTCAGCCACATACAAGGCAGATGCCCTCCCAGCTTTACTATGTCTGCCAGTGCTCAGGGCTTACTTCCTGGCTCTGCATTCAGGAATTACTCCTGGCAGGCTGGGAAGACTATATGGGGTGCTGGGGATTGAACCACGGTATCTGCATGCAAGGCAAATGCCCTACCTGCTGTACAAATGCTCCATCTAGATCCATTTAAGATACCCTCAAGAGATTTCCTTTGCAGGCACTAAAAACGGACCATGCATAGACCACTGTAAACTTAAAAAAAATATTTGTTTGTCTGCATTGCAGTTTTATGTAGAAGTTAAGAATGTGAAATTCTTATCATTAATGTTATTGTAAATTATAGTGGCTCTATAAAATTTGGGGAAAATTTTAAAGTGAAAAAAATTGAACATAATCTTTGGAACCCAGATTAGTATCCACAGTCTGTGACCTTATGATTGTCTTTATCTGTGACTCAGTTCCTTCATCTACTACATGAAAACTGGACTGTTGTGAGAATTGGATTATTTAATCCAGAAAAAGCACTTATTGTAATATCTGGATCACTATAAGGAATATTTGTTGCTCTTAGTATAATCATTATTATTTTTATTGCTGCAATTGTATGGCTATCTTCTTGTTAGTACTAAGAGGTGAAAAGGTAGGAAAGAATTTCACAGATGCCTATAGGTGATAGAGTTGTCTGTGACTCGTAATTACCTGCTCCAGGGTTTCCTGTGTAAAATTCATAAACACTGATGATTTGCCTGAGAACTGTGTGCCTGGAGGCAGAGGGAAAGAAAAATCAAACAAATTTTTAAGAACTCAAGAGAAAATTCAGAAATTTTTGAGTGGCCTTATCTGCTGGTATAATACCCTGAGAACTTAAAATATGTCTTTCACTCTGTCTCAGGCCTTCTCTGATTCAGTAGAAATGAGAGGGAAGGGATTTCTGTCCCTATCATCTCTATTGTTTTGTGCAGAACTATGGCCTCTGAGTGCGTTTTTTTTTTCCTATCAATTCTAGGACTGAACTTGGCAACTAGCTTTTCACTCCGTGTCTTATCCTAATATAGAGGTATTACATGAGAAAGAAGGTTAGATTCTTTGAAATGTCCTAGAAGATAATCCTAATTAGGATAAGCTAAATAGTAAAAGTCATGAAAATGCACAACAAACCTGAAATATCCAAAGCAATCTTGGAACTGGAGAACAAAGTTAGAGGAAATATATTACCTGACTTAATTTAAGAATATTACCTGACTTAATCTCATGCCACATCAAGATGAAAAGTATATCAAATGGGGGAAAAAAGACTAGAAAGCTTCAAAATGGATTCATGACTCCATGACCACAGAATCTCTTCAGGAAGGCCAGAACAAGCCAGTAGAGTTTGTGAAAAAATTAATTTTGCCCTTACTTATTACCATATAAAACATTCCAGGATGGGGCATAGACATAAGGAATGCACAAGCTAAAACAATAAAAGTTCTCAAGGTATCTGTGTAATTTAGGAGAATAAAAAGAATTGTATAGGGCACTAGAAAGCAATTACCTTAAACGAAAATAATGACAAAACTAGGCTTCTTCAAAAGCAGTAAACATGAATTTGTGTTAGCCTGCCTGAGTTCAGTCGCCAGCCTTCGGACAGAGGAGATAGCTCAGAGGCTGGGGCTCAGGCTGTGCAGATGGTCCCATCCCCAATCTTGCAGGCACCGTAGCCCCCAAGCACTGTACATGTGTCCTCCAAGACAGCGTCCCACCTCCCTGGCTTCCACTACTTCCATCCATTCCACCCTCCGTTTCTTCCCTGTAAAGTAAAGGTGATGTGGTGGCAGTACACAAATCTCTGCCTCGGTGTTGTTGGGAGAATGAAGCATTAGTAAAAATGATTGAAGTTACTTCAACCGTGGGAAGCTTCTTGAGACCTCTTCCAGGACTACGTTCTTCACAAGCTTGGCAGTTTCTGTTTGGTCCTCTTTAGAGACCTGCTGGCAGCCTCTCACCGGTCCTTTCGTTTGTGCATTTATGTACTGCCTAGAACGGGAGGAACTCAGGAGAAAGGCAGTTGCAGAGACCTAGCACACAGTCTGGGACGAGCACGAGTGCTTATAGACACATCCTCTTGCTTGACATTCTAGAGACCATTTTGTTCTTAACTATTGACTCAGTTTCTACCTCACATGTGCTCTAAAATTAGTGTATTAGCCCGTTGGTGGTAGGGAAAGACTCTGTGTGTGTGTGTGTGTGTGAGTGTGTGTGTGTGTGTGTGTGTGGTTCCTGCCTGCACAGCAAAGCCTGGCAAGCTACCCGTGAGAAATTTGATATGCCAAAAACAATAACAAGAAGTCTCACTATGGAGACATTACTGGTGCCTGCTCGAGCAAATCGATGAACAACGGGAGGACAGTTTTACAGTGCTATGTATAAAACATGTATTTATTAATATATAAATATATAGAGAGGTAGTTATATAAATAAATATAAAATAAACATGTACATAAATATATATTTATTTATATATTTATAAATAGATATTTATTTATAATATTTATTATATGTTTATGTAGCACTGTTGTACTGTCCTCCCCATTGTTCATCGATTTGCTCGAGCGGGCACCAGTAATGTCTCACAAGTTGTGAGACTTGTTGTTACTGGTTTTGGCATATTGAATACGTCACAGAGAGCTTGCCAGGCTTTGCCATGCAGGTGAGATACTCTTGGTGGCTTGCCTGGAACCTCTGAGAGGGGTGGAGGAATCGAACCCGAGTGGGCCATTTTGACCGTGTGCAAGGCAAACATCTTACCGGCTGTAATATGGCTCCATAAATATTTCTATTTATATATTATATATTCACGTATAATATACATTTGTGTACGTACGTATGTTTTTGGGAAGGGAATGTGCACAGAGACAAAGGAAATAATAAAGTCCTAATTTTTTTTAAACATGAACTCTTTAACACTGTTATTGAGGAAAGATTGAATTTCATAAACATCGGAGATCATAGTCTATTTTATTGAATTTTAAAATGCGTGCTTTCTCCTACCCACCAATTGTATAATCTTGTAGAGTCTTATAAAGATCTGATAGTCTCCTAAATACTGCATTTACGTATTGTCAGGGTATTCTGTCCAAGGGGACCACTTTTTTCACTGCACGTGTCACGAGAAGGTCTTCTCTCTCAATTGCAGATGACACAGCGCAAGTTACCTCTGACTATGAAACCAACAACAACAGCGATAGCAGTGATATCGTACAGAATGAAGACGAGGCCGAGTGCGCCAGAGAGCCCCTGAGGAAAGCATCTCCCTGCAGTTCCTACACACCTGAGACCATGATGTTCCTAGTAAGCCCATACCTCTTAGCTCGTCTTACAGTGCAGAAATCAACTTTTCCATGGGGATTGACTTAGGCATTCTTGTGCATCCTTGTGAGATGTGAATATATATCCCTTGGCTTCCACGTGTGTTTTAGCCTCTCCATATGTAGCGGCATAATTTTTCTCTATCTAAGACTTAGGGATTACTTGGACAGTTCTATTGTCTAGTGACTTGAAATTTAAGTGTCCTTCTCCACAAAGGAGTCTGGGTATTTCTAAATTTACAAGTATGAATATGCATAGGAGAAATGCATCATTTCACTCCGTAATTCAATATTTCATAGTAATCTATCAAAAGCAGTGAAATGTGTTGGTTTTCTTAGGATTTCCACTGATTTTTAGCCTTGATGTTGTAAGTGAGCTACTACTTAGCATGTTATGTTGCAGCAGGTTTCTGGTGATGATGGTCCACAAGTTATGCACCCAAATAATGGAAAGTTGTCTGATTCTCAGTTATTGCTACACTCATTGTTCTTTTGCCTAACTGGCCATTTCTACTTCTCAACCAAGTGATGACCAGATAACACGTGTCTCCTTATCACCATTCTCTTTATTTTCTAGTTTTTTTGGTAAATGGTTTCTCGTGGATTTTCTCATCTGGGACTCATTATGAAATGTCTTTACATTTAGATGCAAAACTCTTCAGTACATCAGCTAAATTAAAATCCCAGGGAAGGATAGCAGCTATTAGGATCCCGGGATTCCTACTGATTTTCCAGCAATAATGCAAACCCAGCCAAGTATCTTGGGGCGCTTCACTCCCACTCCATCAGCCCCTTCATTGGTTTCTGTTGAGCGTATAAAATAATTAAGGAAAGCCTCAACCCAGAAAATGTAAATGAACATATACCGAGATCAATTTACATGCAGTTTTAGAGGGTTCCACAATTCTCATATATTTACTTAAGAACATTGTGGAAATTTATAGAAGAAAGATGGGTTTTTTCCCTGCTACTGTAGCAAGTATTACCTAGTGACAGATAAGAACCCATATTTCTAGAGCTCATGACTTTTAAAATGGCAGCAGTGAGCTCATTTGAGGCTAATGTCTCTGTCATCTTGATTTGAGAGGCAGGAACTGGGGTTTGGGGAGATGCATAGGAGCCCATACAGTGCTGGAATTGGATTGAGGCTGACCACAGGCAACTCCTGTTCTTTGTAGGACTTCGATTTCTTTTTTAAAGAATCAGATTTACCCTAAGGATAGTAGATACACGGGACAGGAAGATTGCTCCCTAGCTGGAAGCCTGCCTCATGAGCAAAGGGGAGAAGCAGCTGGAATAGAGAAGGGATCACTAAGAAAATGATGGCTGGAGGAACCAGTCGGGATGGGAGATGTGTGCTGAAAGTGGACCAAACATGATAATCTCTCAATATCTGCATTTCAAACTATAATGCCCCAAAGTAGAGAGATATTATGGGGAATAATGTCTGCCATGGAGGCAGGGGGAGGGTGGGAAAGGGGGCTTATACTGGGGATATTGGTGGTGGGGAATGTGCACTGGTGGAGGGATGGGTATTTGATCATTGTGTGATTGTAACCCAAACATGAAAGCTTGTAACTATGTCACAGTGATTCAATAAAATTTTTTAAAAAGAGGGAGAATATTGGCACTGCAAATCTAAAGTATTATAAAAATAAAATTTGTGATGAAACTGTAAAAAGAAAATCAGATTTACTCTGACGTCTCACATTATTTACTAGTGACAAATCAGTTAAATTGAATTTATTGAAACATAAATTCCTTTACAGAAAAATCTGTAATATGTTCAAATATGTTCACCTTCATTGCAGGATAAACCAATTCTTGCACCCGAACCTCTTGTCATGGATAACTTGGACTCAATTATGGAACAACTAAATACTTGGAATTTTCCCATTTTTGATTTGGTGGAAAAAATAGGGAAAAAATGTGGTCGTATTCTTAGTCAGGTAAGAAATCAATTCCTACATATGACTTGAAAGGGGCTCTTGGGACCAGATGTGATGCTGGGAATCAAACCCAGGTCAGGCATGTGCAGGGTGAGCATCAGGCTCTCTGCCCTATTCCTCTGTCTCCCTGTTGTGATGTTGTAACAGAGATTTCCTCTGATGTATGGAGTAGAACCAGTATAACTGTGATTTCCAGTTTTTTCCAGGAAACATTTATGGCCCCATAAAATCTGGGTGCTAAACTCTTATTGAAATCTTAAGTGAATTAGGTAGGTAGTTTTTCTTTTCTTTTCTTTTCTTTCTTTCTTTCTTTTTTCTTTCTTTCTTTAAGTAAAAACAGATTTTATTTGAAAGTTTAGAAGGGGGAAGGAGAGGAGAGAAAGTGAGAGAGAATAATGTGCTCAAGAGAGAATGAGGACTTCTCCAAAGGTTTGAAGGAAAGAAATAGGAGGGTCTTCCCTCCATCATCCCAGTCACAATCTAATGACTCACCCTGCCCTTAAGGAGAAACTTAACATCCCTGCCTTAAAGGAATTCTGCTCTAGTAGATAAGTAGGTCTGGGTCAAAATACTGAAGGCTCTACTTCTTCCATATCAAACATAGGTATGTAAAAGCCATCAGTGGGGTCAGGCCTGGAGCACAAGCTTCTCAGGTTCAGTTCCCAGCATCTCCCAGGCCCTGAGCGGTGCCCACAGGAATTCCCAAGCACCACTCAGATCCATTCTTGAACCAGCACTGCCAGACTTGGCCCCAAAACCAGTCAACGAAGAATAAATGAGTGGTGGGATCTGCCCGTGAAAAATGACTACTGCGTCAGTGCCACCTGCCTCTGCTTGATTCTGCTCAGCCGAGACAACTTCTGTAGACTGGAGCTCAGTCTGTGGAATTCACACACCTTCGGTCTGCCTTTCTCTGCTGTCTCCAGTGTACTGACTGGCGTAATGACACCCAACCCAGCTGGGTCTCACACTTCATATGTCTCCAAATGCTACTTTTGGGAAACCCTAACTGCCTTACAACTCCTGTGACTCTGGAGAATTGATGATTTTTTTTTTTCTTGGAAAAAGGCTTTCTAGGCACCAAAGTATGTACCCTAAGTCGAGACAGAAAAGTCTCACATTGTTTGGACTTGAAAAATATGTCACAGATTGCACCCCTACCCCCATTTAATTTTCTTCGGTGTCACCATTTAATTTTCCCAGTCATTTCTCTTTTACCATATTGAATACTCTCCGTATCTCAGTAGCTTGCCAGGCTCTACAAGAGGGGCAGAGGAATCGAATTTGGCTCGGCCAGGCAGGCTGCATGCAAGGCAAACGCCCTAAGAAGTCTCACAATGGAGATGTTACTGGGCCCGCTCGAGCAAATTGATGAACAACGGGAGGACAGTTCTCTTTTACCAAAAATGTAGACTTCTAAAATCCGATGGTAGATGTCATACCCAAGATGGAAGGCACATCTTGCCCTATCAGAAGCCTCTAGTTTTTATGTTTATTTACATTTATTTCAAACACTTTGAAGTTCCCACACACAATCCACTGACTTGATGTATCTCCAGACTCTCCCAGTGGATTATCTGCTCATTTAGAAAATTGGATATTAAAGGAATCAGTTTTATAGCTCAAGGAACAGTCACTTACCTCCCTTGAAGTTCTGTGATCAGCTCAAAAGGTCAGTTAAGAGTTATGGGTCTAACTAATCACTAGAAATACTAGGAATACTCCATTCAATTTTAGCTCAGTTTATTTATGTTTCTTTTTTTCAAATTATCTTTCAAAAATAAATAGATTACTATATGATCATTGGTATTTCACCGTTTACTTTTCCAATTTTCAGGACACTGAGCTTTAGGGAAATGTAGCTTTATTTGCTTTGCTAAGTAGAACCGTATGGGGTTTTTTTTTTCCTCCTTTGATTTGGGTATTTAAGCACAAAAATCATGACATTTTCACTGTGTGAAATATAAGGCATACTTTTTTCACATAAGTTTAAGACTGTAGGACAGCTGAAATGAATTAACTCAAAAATTCCAAGAAATCACCTTTTGGCTGAAATGACACAGAAAAAAGTCTCACTTCAAAAGATTTTTAAACAGACATACGTGCAGTGGAAACGATTCTCCATCTCAATACACTCCTTGCCCTTTTGATGATTATCGTGTTTGTTTTAACAAATTTAAAAGGACGTCCTTAGACTTTGGAATAATATTTACTTTTATTTTTTCAGTTACCAACATTTCCCCACTTTGTGGTGTCTTTACTTTACACGTTTGTGTTATTGGTGGTTGACTTTGAGGAGCTGCTTGGTGAAAATTCTATTTAAAAATCATATTCTAAAACAGCCTGTGGCCCTAATTTTTCAATTTATCTTTAAACTGTTTAAGAGAATAATAGCAGTTCTCTGTTATTTGCAAACTATTTCTTTACAAACAATCATGGTAGGATTTCAAGCGGTTTAGTACAAAATCAAAAACCAAATTACTTGCTTTGACTTCTGATTCTGGCAGGTGTCAGCTGTGTGACCCTGACCAAGTCACCTAACCTCTCTTGTGCCTCCATTCCCTTTGCTTTCAGATGTCAGTCGTTAAGTGCCTAATTCATAAAGCTGTCATGAGGAATAATTAATTATCCATCAATAACAATTATAAACTTAGAGCAAGCATCTTTCTTTTTTGTTGGCTTTTTTTGGGGTCACACCTGGCGATGCACAGGGGTTACTCCTGGCTCTCTGCTCAGGAATTACATCTGGTGGTGCTTGGGGGACCATATGGGATGCCTGGGATCAAACCTTGGTCAACCACATGTAAGGCAAATGCTCTGCCCATTGCACTATTACTCTGGCAGGCATCTTCCTTATTCAGTGCAACATATATATATTTTTCAACAAAAGATGCACTATTATTGTTTAGAGTTTCCACCCAACAATCAGAACTGCTGAAAAGACATTGTGAAATAATTTGTTTTCTATAGCTGGTTATGAGAACCATATGATGTCACGCGGCCACAATAGCAGCCATGCGATTTTGGATTTCTGATATTTTACTTATTAATTCTGGAGGGATTTCTGCCAAGAGTCAGATAATCAAGAGTTTGGTTTCTGTGGCCCTGGAGCCATGATCGTGCCAGAGAGCCACTCATGGGGGGCAACTCGTGATCTCGGCGGGCGTAAAGGATGAGCAGGGAACACCCACCCTTCCCATGAGGTTGCAGTTGCCCCGTTACCACTGGCTCATACCTGACTTTCCCAATGCCACATATATTTTTAATTCACTATTGCTATGAACATCTCTCTATGTCACCAGCTCCTCCTACTATTGCTTGGTTCATTAATATCACTGGACCCTGCATTACATAGGTATATCTTTTAGGCATTTATAAATAGAATTCAAAACTATGGTAGGAAAGATAACTAAAACAGGAGTTTGCTTCTTAATGTTTTTGTTTCTCAGTGTTTTTATTTTCCCTTTGCTGTTGCTTTGTTCTGATCAGGCACATGCACTCAATGGCCATCCTCACACGCTCTTGGTTTCCGGCCATGGAGCTCAACCACTGTTGTGGGGTTGAGGGACCCCAGTGGCACTGCTGCCTGTGTCCCATTCAGCATGAAGGGAGGTGCTGGGGAATCTGACACTCAGCCTCAGGTCTATGAGGCAGGTGTTCTACCCTTGAAATCTCCCCAGCCCACCTCAGTGAACTAGTTTATAGTGTCATGTGATGGACAACCCACTCACTATTGCCTTTGAAAGAGAAGAGCTAGGGAGATAGCACAGAGGTGAAGGCAGTTGCCTTGCACACACCCTGAATTGCATCCCAGGGCCACGTATGGTTCCTCAGGCACTGCCAATAGCCCTCCCTGAGCACATAGTTAGAAGTAGCCCTGAAGGACCCCCAAGCCCAAAATAATAACACTAACAATAATAATGGACTGCAGAGAAGGGGGGCGTGATTCATTGCTCCATGTAGGGGAAAGCCCTGTTCTTGCTGTCCCGGGGGTATGTATTTCCAAGGAACAGTTCTTCACCTATTGCCAGCCAGAAACTCTCTGTCCTGGTTTCCTTCCTGTGCCCCCTGTCCTATCCTCCCAATGACCCCTCCCTGCCTCATGCTGTTTGCTCTGCCCACCCCCAGTTTTTACCTGTGGCCCTGTTGGAATATCCTGGGGTCCCAGAGAGCAGGGGCCATATGCCTCCCCCAGTTGAGAAATGCTCTATTTGACCATGTTGTGGCTGGTGGTTAACGATACTTATTTGAAAATGTAAGTCCAGTAATCACTGGCTCGAACGATTCAGTGGCTCCCCACTCCCACTGGCTCTTCAGCCTGGAGCCTGTACCCCACCCAATCTACCCCTGCAGTGTGGAACTCACTCCCTCGGCCTGTCCTCACCACTGACCTTCTGACTGTTCCTGCTTAGAGAAGGTTACATACCTCTAATATTGTAGTACTCTTCAGTTTCTGACATTTTCTGTAGTTTGTGTATAATATTAAGCTACCTTGATACATCTTCTAGTGCATACCTTTGGGGGTAGGGGAAGTTTTTTCTTTGGTTTTGGAGCCACACCTGGCAGTGTTTGAGGATTCCTCCTGGCAGTGCTCAGGTGACAGTATGTGGTGTCAGGATCAAGTTGAGCTCTGCTGTGTGCAAGGCAAGAGCCTTCACTCCTGTATTATCTATCTCTCCAGCCCTGGGTAATTGTTTCTTTGGTGTTTGCCTTTCAAGAAATATTACAGGGGAGTAGGGAGCTAGACCATCAGGTAAGGCACTTGCCTTGTACACAGCTGACTTGGTTTGATCCCTCCCCCCACCCCCCGAACCAGGTGTAAGCCCTGAGCACTGTGGTACCTTGAGCTCAGGAACTGCAGAGATAAACACTTTGGGCCTTTGGTATCAATTTGACTGACTGTTCCTAGGAGCTCTGCTGGCAAAATTTAAATGGTTGATGGAATGTTTACTCTGCACCCGTTTTCCTACTTATGGCTAATGCCCACTAAGGGGTATTTTCTAAGATTTATCTTTTCTCTCTTACAGGTGTCATACAGACTTTTTGAAGACATGGGCCTCTTCGAAGCCTTTAAAATTCCAGTTAGGGAGTTTATGAATTATTTTCATGCTTTGGAGATCGGATACAGGGAAATTCCTTGTGAGTATAAGATAATTGTGAAATGACACTTTCAAGGTTGGTCAGTTTGTTCTGGGTAATGGGATGTGGAGTCACTTTTAGTGAGCACATTTTGTTAACTTGCCACTGGACTATGCTCCAGTGATCAGTGAATAATCTGTGCTCAAATCTGGCTCCTTTCGTTACCAGCTACTTGGGATTTGCTTGAGTTCTACATGTTTCGTTACTTAGTCCAGAAAATGGAGTTGTTTGAAGATTACACAGTGTAGTGTTAGGGGTTATTATTTTATTCCATGCACATATTAAGTCTAGTTTAAGTGTTAGCTGAGTAAATAATTGAATGTTAAACTGATGACGTTTATCATTTGCTCCTTTTATTGGGTGAGTCCAAGTCCATTTTTTTTTTTTGGCATCCAGAGTCTTCATTAAAGTTTTCTTACAATAAGAGAATCTGGGCTGGAAGTAGAGCATGAAGAGGAGGATGGTCTAATTAAGAAAGGAGAACAAAAGGACATCTGAAAGTCATCGTGGAAATGATGAGAAACATTGTTTTTTTAGATCAGATAAACATGACAACCAGAGGAGAGGACAAAATCCAATACTGAGGCTTATGAACTTTGAGTTGTGAGAATTTCGTTTGTCATTAATGGTCATGAGAAATCGGAATAGAGGAGAGATGATAATCAGTATGTGGCCTTTCCATTCACATAGGTAGAATTATCCCGCATGCTATGGAATATAGGAAACTGGGGGAAATCCAAACAGGAAAGGTAGGGAAGTGCAGGGGGATTATCTAACCCTTTTAGAAAATGATTGCACAGAAATAAAAACAGTGAAACAGCATATACTTTTGAGTATATCTTTAAATGTGTCATTTAAATCATGTTTGGCTTTTACATCCAATAATTTGCTTTTATGTACCTTATGAACTTTAGAACTAAATGGCATTCTATTGCTGCAAAGAGTTGAATTCAACTTTTTTTTGGTAGAGGACCAAGGATTAAACTCAGTGTAGAATGCATGCTTTTTGATATTTGAGGTCCTGGCAGAAGCATGCGTTAGTAAACAGAAAGAACGATGTTTTAGGTGTATTATAAAATTAGACTTTGAAAAGTAGGTTGTTGATAAACATTATTTGTACTTGATAATAAGATGGAAACAGATAAAATACTGAAATTCCCAGGAAAGGCCTAGCATCCACCCATGCTATTATTAGCATGTTACTTTTTAAAATGTCATCCACCTGCTAAGTTGGAATGAAATGCACAGCTGATGGTATATGATAGGAAAGAAACAGAAAGATTTGCATCTGCAAACAAAACAAAACAGTCCATTTTTTTTTTCTGGGGGGAGAATGTCGGGGAGGGTTGGGGCCGCACTTGGAAGTGTTCAGGGGTTACTCTTGGTTCTGCACTTGGGAATTACTCCTGGTGATGCTTATGGGACCATATGGGATGCTGGGGATTGAACCTGGGTCGGCTGACGCAAGCAAGGTAAGCACCCTACGCACTGTACTATAGCTCTGGCCCAAATCAGAAAAGGCATTTTGTTCTGTAGGAAAGAGAAGCTTAAGACACCAGGGCCCTTGAGTAAAGCTGACCACATTACCATGGAAGTTGGAAGAAAGAAATGAAGGGACAATTTGAAAGGATCTCAATGGGCCCAAGTGATAATGGGTAGGGGACTTTTCTTGCATGAGGCCAACCTGGGTTCTATCCCTGGCATCTCATTTGGTCCCCCAAGCTTGCCAGGCATAAATAATGAGCACAGAGCCAGAACTGTACCAGGAGTTATCCCTGAGCAGTTCCAAGAGTGACCCAAAAACAAAAAAATAAATAAAAAAGGAAAATGGCTCTCAATGTAATCTTTGCTTTCTTTATTGTCTCTTCTCTGGACCTAGCCTAGATTATCCCTGTCGTTCATAAAGTTAGATATTTCTCAAAGTTATTACAAACACGAACATTCATTGGCTCTCATAGAAAGAAAGCCCTCAAAACACTGGGGAACAACTAGTCATTGTGCTAAATTCACAAGTTAATGCCCTGTTTTCAGATGCATTTTTGTAATCAGGTATGGCCAAGTTCCATTGCATTCAGATACTACTCCAGGTAGTATATCACTAAATCCTAGGGAAGTGACCAGTATAGAAATGTTAAAAAAATGTTCCTGATCCTGAATTTCATCATTCATTTTTATATTCACTTATTATAGTTTTATAAGTTACAGATGGAGATGTTTTTATGAAACTTTTTTAAATTCCATGTGAAAATAATTTGTTACAATAAACCTGCTTGGTTTATCAGAAGCTCCAGATGTTTTCCTTCAAGGAAATATATCTATGTCATCCCTCAGGAAAATACTACATGAATGGTGATTCTTATTAAATATAATACTTTCTTATGGTAGGGTCATAAATTTTGACTAGTGCATATTTTAATTAAAAGTTTTTTTACTAATTTTATATACTAGTTATTTTATTAATCATTTATATAATATATATTGGCATCTACTCAACAGTTTTTTTATAAAATGGCACTATCTAAATAAACCTTTAAAATTTTAAGAGCTTAAATAGTCAAATGTGACTATAGTAAGACAATAAGCTAAAATACTAGAAACTAAATTGTGTTGAGATTCTAAGTAAAGTAAAAGTAAAGGCCCTCCCATTGATCATCAATTTGCTCGAGCGGGCCCAGTAACATCTCCACTGGAGACTTTGTTGTTACTGTGTCTGGCATATCGAATACTCTCGGTAGCTTGCCGGACTCTCCAAGAGGGGCAGAGGAATCGAACTCGGGTCAGCCATGTTGGCTGCGTGCAAGGCAAACGCCCTACCCGCTGTGCTATCGCTCCAGCCCTAAGTACACATCTAAAACTTGCCATGAAAGAAGGCCAGCCGGGTATCCTAGAGGAAAGGGCAGTTCAGATAGAGAAGGGAGCACCAAATAAAGGATGTTTGGAGGATCCTCCCAGGAGGGGAGATGCATGTCGAAAGTAGACTATGGACTGAACATGTTTGCCACTCAATGCCTCTTTTGCAGACCACAACACCCAAAAGGAGAGAGAGAACACAGGGGATTGCCCTGCCACAGAGACAGGGGGGATGGGGGGATGGGGGTGGGAGGGATGTTATCCATGGTGGTGGAAAATGGGCACTGGTGGAGGGATGGGTATCTGATCATTGTATAATTGAAACCAAAGCACAAAAAATTGTAAATCTACAACTTTAAAAAAAAATAAAATACAATAAAGGGGAAAAAAAAAAAGAAAGAAAGGGAAATGTGAAACTTTTCAATTTGAACATAGAATCCTCACTAAAACATGAAGAATCCAATTTAAAACTGAGAGAGAGCTTTCATGGAAAAATATTGGATAATATAATAGAGATCTACTTGCTGATAGAGATATGATACCAAAAATATATTTAGTCACTAAATATTAGCATAAGTTAAGGTCTAGTTTATACTCTGCTGTGCAGAGGGTAAGTAATCTTACGTGTTAGTCACACTCCCCTATTAAGAGCTGTAGGTGGTTTGATCTTATTGCATCTGTTCCTTGTTCTAAACTGCTTCTGCCAATACCCAGTTCTTGTTGCAAGAACACTGCAAAAGTGGGGTACAGGTTTACGCTTCTCTAATTTGCGAGAATAATGGCAAATGCTCACATAACATTATCTTCCCAGCTTGCAACAAAGGGGAAAAAAACCCAGTAACTCTCTCTCTCTCGATGTCATAATTAGTGACACCATCCATCTCCTCCACTCCAGAATTATCACTCTTCCCTCTCCCAGAACAGAAAGATTCTTTGCTTGTAGCTCCTTAATACCATTCCTTAAACTTTCATTGTGGGGGAAAAATCAGTGATTGGTGCTCTTATTCTGTGTGATTCGTAGTTACATGCATGTGAGGTTTATGTGTCGGTCACCCTAAAACCAGTGTTCTTATGTAATTCTCCCACTCATATCTAAAATAGACATCGATTGCCTTGTATTTTTCACATTGGAGATCTGAGTCATAGAGTAATGGAACACAAACACAATCATATGTCCCAAATGTAGGACATCTGGCATGGTCAACTTACTTCATGCAAGGACATCTGGTATGGTCAACTAACTTCATGCAATAGGGATAGATATAAAATTGATTGGAATCATTCAAAAAAGTCTCCATCGGTGCTTTTCAACTTTCAGTTGATCAGACAGCACAGGTATTAAAAGGTTGAAAGCCCCTGATCTATAAACAGAGATAGCGATTTCCATTTTAGTCCGTGTTTTCTTTGAAGCACTATATCACTGTTCACTTCTCGCTAACAGGACATAGGTCTTACTATTTTGTCCTTGAGAAACTGGAGATCTTCTTATTAAAGTTTTTAATCTTTTCCTATTTCTGGTTTTGTTTTGCGGTACTGGGAATTGAACCCAGGGTCTCACATCTGCAAGGTAAAATCTCCACCTCAGAGTTCTATTCATGACCACTCAAAGATTCTCTTGGAGACTTCTCTTGCAAGCCCTCATTCAGCCCTTCACTTGAACTCCTTGAATAAACTAGTTATGTACTGAGACCTAAAGCCTCCAGCTGAAGAGTTGCCAAAAATTTAGAAAAATAAGGAAATGATCATGGTTGGTCATTAGAAATAAAATGTGTAAAGTTAGAACATATGCAAAGAAGCAGACCAGTCTTGAAGTATCTTGACGGGCAGATAGACAAGAAAAAAACTAGATTGAGGGTCTGGGGCAATAGCACAGTGATTAGGGCATTTGCCTTGCATGCAGCTGACCTGGGTTCAATTTCCAGCATCCCATATGGTCCCCTGAGCACCACCAGGAGTAATTCCTGAGTGCATGAGCCAGGAGTAATCCCTGTTTTGGTGTGATCCAAAAAGAAAAAAAAAACCTGGATAGAATTACATCCATAAAAGACATTGGATCCCTAGTCATGGTTGAGAAAAACTCAACTTCCCTAGCTAAAATGATCCCCCACCCCTTCCAGAGACAGAAACGTAAGAATGAAGAGGGTTCACTTTCCCCATAGCAATTTCCCTCCTGAAGGGCTCAGCTCCCCCCAGAAATGTAGAGGAAAGCCCCTTTTTCTCTTTCGGTCTTTCCTGGAACCACATCCCCAAATGAGAATTTCTAGACTCAAGGACGTTGTTGAGGCTAGTATTGATTATTCACTCTGATATAATCTATATGTTGAAGATATGTTCACGATCATGACCACCCTGTTATTCATCGACTGCCTCGAGCAGGCCCCAGTAACGTCTCCTTTGTCCTAGACCTGAGATTTTTTAAAAAGTGCCATATTCAAGACTCTTTCAGAGTTAGGAGAATGAGACCTATCATTCTCCTAACTCTGAAGATGTGTTAAATGTTTTAAAAGTGTTTTTCAAGTTTGATACAGAAGAGTAAGGTAAGGTAAGGTAAAGGCCCTCCCGTTGATCATCGATTTGCTCGAGCGGGCCCAGTAACGTCTCCATTGGAGACTTTGTTGTTACTGTGTCTGGCATATCGAATACTCTCGGTAGCTTGCCGGGCTCTCCGAGAGGGGCGGAGGAATCGAACTCGGGTTGGCCATGTTGGCTGCGTGCAAGGCAAACGCCCTACCCGCTGCGTTTTTTTCAGAGGTTATATTTGGGTGCCATTTCTCAGGGATAAAATATTATGTGGTGACTAGGCCATTGGTCTGATCCATGTCGTGGGTCTTCTGCAGAATCTTGTGTAGGAGAGTGGAAATAAGCACAAGAGCAAAATTAGAACTGCTCTTTAGTGAGGTCCCTATATGCGTCAGGTTTCTCGTATATTTTGAGTCCAGAGTTTTCCACTTTAGACATCTGCAGATGTCATAAATGTTGTGAGCACTTTTTTTTCCTAGTTTCTGTGGATATTGTGGAGTACGTAATGGAAGGGTAACCAGAGAATATTTGTTCCAAAATGTTTGGCTGAACTTTCACTGGGGTATTAAAATTTAAGAACTAAACTGTTTATCCAATAGATGGCACTCTTAGTCCTTGGACCCCAGAGTTTACAGTTTAACGACTGTTCCTTTGCATTGGTTACAGATCATAACAGAATTCATGCCACTGACGTCTTACATGCTGTTTGGTATCTGACAACACAACCAATTCCAGGCCTCTCGACTGTGATTAATGATCATGGGTCCGCGAGCGATTCAGGTACGCAGAAGCACATTTGGGAAGGAACTGTGCTGCTACATCAAGACCAGTCACATCACCTAAATAGGCACTTTGGCATCCACATTGACTTTTTTTTTTAAAAAAAAAATATGTAATACCTTTGCAATGTTTTCTCTTTTATCTTCTCAGATTCTGACAGTGGATTTACACATGGACATATGGGATATGTATTTTCCAAAATGTATAACATGCCGGATGATAAATATGGCTGTTTGTCAGGAAATATCCCCGCCTTAGAGCTCATGGCCCTGTATGTGGCCGCAGCAATGCATGACTATGATCACCCCGGGAGGACCAATGCGTTCCTGGTGGCGACTAGTGCACCTCAGGTAAATGTCCACCTTGATTAGAGGTGATTCAGTTCAAAGATATCTCTGGAGGAGGAACATAGTTTTTATAACTTTGATCTGAAGTAGCCACAGAGTGAATATAAGCTAAATTCTATTTATTCCTGGGAAAAAAATTGTTAGAAAACTAGTAGTTTTGAAAAAAAAAATGCATCGTTTTTCCCAAGATCCTAATGGCAAGGTATGTGACTCACCCACAGGAATCCCTTCCTGATTTCTTTTTTTCATGCACTCAGGAATGACTCCTGGAGGACCATATGGGATGCTAGGAATTGAACCCTGGTCAGCCACGTGCAAGGCAAATGCCCTACCCACTGTGCTATCTCTCCAGCCCCTGATTTCTTTTTAGGAGAAAATAAACTGTTTAGAAATTCCATCCTGTTCAGAAGTTTCTGTCAGGGCCTGGAAAGAGATCTCAACAGGCTGAGAGCATACTTCACATGTGCAAGGCCCTGGGTTCTCTCCCTGACACCACATGGTCCCCAAATCAGAGCCAGGAGTAGCCCCTTGAGCACAGTCCAGTTTGGCCCATAAACAAAAGCACAAAGATGGAATTTAATCCAAAAAAGGAAACAAATGGGTTCTTTTCCTTGGTGAGATAGTCAAGGGGCTAAGGATTCACCTTGCATGTGGCTGACCCAGCACCAGTAGTGATCTCTGAGCAACAAGGCAACAATAAAAAGAATGCAAGGTTTGTTGTATGTAAATTCCCTTCCTCTTGAAATATATTTCTTGTGATAATTACTGTTTTATTTGGATAGTTAAAATTTAACGATGAGCTTCCTTCAAGTGCTTGAGATTTTTTTTTAACCTGCGCAGAGTCTTACAACAACCAGTCACTTTAAATGAGTGTCTCTTAACTCTAAAACAAAAAAAAAAAACAGTCAAAAATCAAGTAAATGACCAATACACAAAACATTAGGTACACAGCATCTCCTTTCATCTCAATAAACTTCACTCTCCCCTGTTTTAGCCCCTGCTCCCTTCATTGTTGATGATGTGGTTGCCATGACGAGAGTCCCACTTGTGTCTTGATGGTGCTGCTGGCACATTCTTAGCTGTTCGCAAAGGATGTCTCAGGGCAGGTTGTGGTGCTCCGTGAGGGGAGGACTCCTCTGACCTGTGGTGCTCAAGCATGAGCTCCCCAGGGGCTGTTTCCCTATGGTCATGAGCAAGCTCTTCCCTGAATTAATCCACTGGCTTGATGATGCTAAATATCCCAGCATCCTGTTACTTTTATTCTCCCCACCAGGATGCCAGTAAGTGATTCTTAATAATCAATGCTGACAAGATCACACATATTTACTTCATTTTTTAAAGTGATATCCAAAAGCATTGCATATTTTTATTCATTTTACTGTGCTGATTGTTAAACCTAAAATATTGAACTCTTCACTCACCTTTTTATTTAATCCAGGCTGTGCTTTATAACGATCGCTCTGTTTTGGAGAACCATCACGCAGCTGCTGCATGGAATCTTTTCATGTCCAGGCCAGAGTATAACTTCTTAGTTAACCTCGACCATGTGGAATTTAAGCATTTTCGTTTCCTTGTCATAGAAGCAATTTTGGCCACAGACCTGAAGAAACACTTTGACTTCGTAGCCAAATTTAATGCCAAGGTAACTCGATTTATACCTGTCTTTGTTATATGGTCATATGGAAAGAACCCATTTGATCACTACTTATATGATAAATGTGAAAGTGAAATACAATAAGCTGTTTAATAATCAAAAGCAGAACATGGAGACAGATCCAGTGTAAAACACTAAGAAATCAAGGTACTATCTCTAGTTCAGAGAAATAATAAAATTCCAGCTTCCATTGCATTATTGTTTGATTTAATTTAATTTATCTCTATAGTATATTAACAGATTCCCAAGAGGCAGTAAAAGTTGAAAACTGGAAATAAAAATTTATATATCAAATATAAGTGTCTAAGTCTTAATTCAAGAAAATTTCCTATTAGTGCAGTTCTTTTAGTACAAAGCAGTAGTACAGTGAGTAGTGCAGTTTGCTACCACACCATGTGGTCCCTTGAGCCCTACCAGGAGTGATTCCTGAGCACAGAGTCAGGAATTAGCCCTGCAGAGTCAGGAATTAGCCCTGAGCATTGCCACGCATGGCTCAAAAGAACAAAAACATAGAAAAGAAAATGTTTTTAGCATTTGCATCTATACTACCTTAATATAAACTATAACATCTAATTTAGTGTTTTTAGCTGATAATTGTTTTTTTCTATAATTAATATTTTACTTTTACAAACTGTAAAACCAGTAACTGTATTTTGAACAACTAGGGAATTTCCCATTCTGGAATTCTGGTTATCACATGGTAGAGAGATGATTGTATTCTTCTATTCTTCTATGTACTTTTGCTTTGAGAGAAAACATCTTTTGACTTTCTTCCTCACACAGGTGAATGATGATGTTGGCATAGATTGGACCAATGAAAATGATCGTCTGCTGGTTTGTCAAATGTGCATAAAATTGGCAGATATCAATGGGCCGGCAAAATGTAAAGAACTCCACCTTCAGTGGACAGAGGGCATTGTCAATGAATTTTATGAGCAGGTAACTGTTTACTTTAGTCCACACCTTGGTGGCTCATAAATTCACTGGAACCACAAAAAACTATAAAAACTATATCAATCTATCATCAGCAAACACACTGGCCAGTATACAGAGAATTCAAATCGAACCCCCAAGTCAGATTAAGCCATAATGACCAAAACTTAAAAAGCTATTTGTAAGTATTTGTTTTGGGAAAACATGTTAAAGCAATGGACCAACTTACTGAGTCTTAGGGAGACCACTAAAATATAGTATTTTAGAAATTTTTGTAATAAAAGATAGTTTAAATTTATATCAGATAAGTTATTTGTTTCTAGTTTGGTTACAAATTGTAATGCATAAAAATATATAAATAGGCATTGTATTTAACATGATAATATGGGAGTTAACACAGCACCAAAGAGTTACCACAAAAACTTAATTGTGATGGGCTGTCTTTCCCGCTTTAGTATATGTTAATCACGATACTTAAAACTCCACATTTGTGCCAACTACTCTTAAGGGGAAGCTGAAGAAGTCGGGCATGGATAGAGGACCAGGATCAATGACAGAAAAGGATATCAAGGAGATATTTATCCAGGGCAGAGGGCATAAAGATACTAAGATAAAGATAGCATCTTCAGATGATGTCACAAGATTGACCTACATGTTTAAGATTTTTGTCATAAAATTGTCATGGAGATTAAACAAAATGAATTGTGAAACTTTCTTCATGAATCATTTGATTCATAAGAAACATTAGATTCTCGGGTCTGGAGTGATAGTACAGCAGGTAAGATGTTTGCCTTGCATGAGGCCGATCCAGGTTCAATTTCCAGCATCCCATATGGTCCCCTGAGCACCACCAGGAGTAATTCCTGAGTGTGGAGTCAGGAGTAAAACCCCTGTGCATTGCCGGGTGTGACCCAAAAAGTAAAAAAATAAAAAAGAAATATTAGATTCTTCTGTTTCCCTACAAAAGTTCATGAATGCTACTAGACTATAGAAATTAGAGAGAGATCTCAGATCAATGTCAGAAAGAAGTCTGTAATCCTAAAGTTACCCAGGAATGGGAAGAAATACCTTATTAAGAAATTCCCCATCACTGGACATATTTAGAAAAATTAGAGAGAGTGGCTATGAGACAGGATTCATGTATAGAATAAAAGGGTTTTGCTTTCTAGAAAATAATATATTAGTTTTCCTAGGAATGAGATTAACTCATGCAAACCTGAAATAGTAAATCTAAAGAAAAAGGAAAGTTCACTTAAAATAAGTTGCATAGGCATAAACACTACTGATAATTTTCATTTTTGTTTTTCTGTTAAGATAACATGATTTACAAAGTTGTATCATAGTTTTAGGCGGGCAGTGTTCTAATACCAAATTCACCACCAATGTCAACCTTCCACGAGTATTCCCAGTGCCCCCCAATCCTGCCCCCAACTCCCCAGCTTGCCTCTTTAACAAGTGTATTTTCAAGTTCAGTTATCGTAGTTTGGGTCTTATCTTTCAGTGTTGTTGGCTTTATGATATAGATATACAGATATACCACAGCCAATGTGTGTAGACCACCAATGTGCCTGAGACCCCATTCCCTCCCCCATCACCTCCTGTCTTTATCTTCTTACTTCTCCACTCAATTTCTTTCCTGCCCTGTCCTCCTTTTTCCATCCAAGGTCAAGGTAAATTTAGGTATATACTCCACTTTCATAGTTTGTATTCCCTTCTCGCTTGCCACAGATATGTGGAATCATCCGGTGTCAGTCCTTCTTCTGACTTACTTCACTTAATATGATATCCCCCTAGTTCCATCTGCACTCTAGTGAAATGCTTGTAAGGAATCATGAAACCATGCATCATGATATTTTATTATGTGTCCATCAGAAATCTTTCTAGGCAACCCTGCTTTTCAGTCTAATCATTTTTCTAAGTCACTTGAAGTAGTTCCAATTGAAAATACATACAGTAGTGCTATAGTAATATGCCATAGTAATAATACTAAAGCTATATTTGGGGCCTGGGAGGGGGCAACTCACAGGGCTGGAGCTTTGCATGTGGGAGCCCAGGGTTTAATCCACTGCACCAAATGACCCCCTGAGCACTTCCAGGAATAGCCCACAAGCAACAGTAACAATGAAGAAAAGAGGAAGTAAAAGAGGTTTACATAAAATATATCAATAGATAAGAATGGCAGAAATCAAATAATCACTGAAAATCTCATTCAACTAAGATGTGGGATAAAAGAGCATACATCAAGAAGTTAATTAATTTTTGGTTTGCTGGAAGCCAAAGCAGCGAAGGAAAACAGGACAGACTAAGTAATAGTTTGATAATCAATTACAGAATTGCATCTTTGTTTGCATTTTTACTCTAATATAAAGTGTAGCTGAAAAGTAAAGCCATCCACGAAGAATTACTTAAATGGATTTGATTTTTTTATTTTTCTGTCTTTCAGCGTATTAGGGTTAATCATGAATTAATCTAACTCTTAGAAAAGAGAGTATGTGATTTTCTAGAATATTCAAGCCTTTTCCTCTCTCTCAGGGTCTTGCCTGTAGTACCCACAATAGTTCTTCTGTTTCCCCTTGATCAAAAGCCTGAACCTCTAGGTCACACACTTGGTGTCAAAGTGTTAAGCAAGAATCAGCTCAGTGGACTGAATTCCCTGCGGGAGGCCTGGGCTCACTCTATCCACCTCCCTGCCCCAAACCTTGTGGTCCCCAAATAGCTCTGAAGTGACCCCCAACCACCAAGCTGGAGTCACCTGACACCACCTGCATGGCCCCAAACCAATAATAAAAAAAGTAAAGACTTATAAATGTGGCTAGAATCTTTTACTAATTCTAGTTAAAAGGGGGCTTTGCATTCAGACGGGACTTGCATATCTTAGGTGTGAGGCAATCATGGATGTTACCCTGCACGCCAAACCTTTGTTGTCACTCACCTTCCTGGTCAGCTAGTTATACTCACTTCCTGTTTCCAGGGTGATGAAGAGGCCAGCCTTGGGTTGCCCATCAGCCCTTTCATGGACCGCTCTGCCCCGCAATTGGCCAACCTTCAGGAATCCTTCATCTCTCACATCGTGGGGCCTCTCTGCAACTCCTACGATTCGGCAGGACTCATGCCTGGGAGATGGGGGGAAGAAGGTGATGAGTCGGGAGATACCGATGACCCTGAAGAAGAGGAAGAAGAGGAAGCAACAGCTCCCAGTGAAGAGGAAGCCTGTGAAAACAATGACTCCCCAAGTATGTTGTCAAAGCTCTTTCTAGGGTGTTTTCCTGCCATCATTTGCTTGCTTGGATTCAAATGCATTTTCCTTCTCAGAATTCAATAGTTTGAGTCAACTGCTACTCTGCTTTTGATTATGATTAAATGCCCCCAGTGCCATAATCGAAAATACAGACCATGGAATCTGTTAGAATATGACATTGCTACAAGGCTATGATCTCGATGATGAAGTAACACTAAAATGAAGAGGGCAAAGGCTGTTCCTTAGAGTTTGGAGCTTTAGAGATGACAGGAATTCCAGGCGCAGGTCAACCTGACCACATAAGAGGTAGAAATGTTCTCATTCAGTGAAGATTCATTAATTATCTACTTCAGTCCCAGGCATTCTTCCAGGTACCCAAGAAAAGGACATGTGTGTAAATCAGAGACTCAGTCTGTCTTCCCCTTTTAGACCTGTATTCCCATAAGCAAGTAGGTAAATCAACAGTTTGAGACTCTGATAATGCCGGATTCTCAATAAATAAAAGGTGGTTGTGAAGGAAAAGGCAACTTTTTGGATAAGATATCCACAGACGGCCTAAGTAAAAAACACTGGAAAAATACAAACCAGAAAAAAAGGAGAAATGGAGTGATCCTTCAGCGGCATCTGTGGCTGTGTTTCCCAGGGAGTGATGCCAGCCCGAGGCCACTAGACCATCCAGAGCAGGTGCAAGAGTAGCCTCGGGTACCATGCATAGGCAGGAGAGTGATTTATTCATTCACTTCAAGAAGGTAGATTCCAGGGTGCTGAATGAGAATTTTCCTGGAAAGGGGTGATAAGCCAATAAGTACAGAGAGCACAGCCAGCAGGGAAAGAGGCTTGAGTTTGTCTTGGAGAGAAGGCGCGATAGGGGAGCAGTAGGAGGTGAATGAACTAGATTTGGAGGGGAATGTCCAGACTTACTGTGTGGGTGTGCCTTTGGCCCTGAGCTGGAGGGCCGCAGAGGGAGTGACGAGAAGAGCTTGTCGATGTTTACATGTCTCTGGATGCATCTTTGGCAGCATGGCGAATGTTTTCTTCCAGTGTGGGTGGGGTGAGGGTGAAGGCGTGATTTCAGAGGTTGTTGGCCTTGTCCCAGGATCTCTGCATGAGGGGCTCAGGAGCAGTTAGTTCCCCAGCAGGTGACCACATCTGGTCATCGATTCTGAGTGCATCATGTCGCCAAATGAATCCATTATAAAACGTCCCAATTCCCCATTTCTAAGTTCTCAGCTGCTGCTGAGAGAGAAATAATTACTATATATCACAGTTAGTAAAACGCACAGACCTTCTAGGGACACTGTTCAAATCCTGGTGCTGTGTCAGCAAACATAGAATAGTTTTCTGCAAACATAGCTTGCCATTTTTCCATCTACCTTCACAGAGTAAGAAAAATAAAACCTTTTCAAAGTCCTTACCCAAAGCATTACCAATGAAAGACATTTTGATCATGTCTTCCTTTTTTGGGAGACTGTGAAAAAAATGCAGAATTTGATGCATTCAGGCTACCTAATCATGATATGTTCTAATCTGAATATATTGACCATTTTTTCCTCATAATAAGACCTTGTTGTGAGCACATTTGCTCAAAGAGAATGAGGTTATTATCAATCAGACACTAATGAGATAAGGTTTCACACATTTGACTTGAGTTCAGATTTCTGCTTCAATTCTGTCTTGTATATCAACTGTGCTACAGAGTGAAGAGAAAATCAAAAGTTCTATTCCTTCAACATTCTATCAAAGTAATTACAGCTTATTTTTTAGTTGCTTAGGAAAATATTCCACTAGAAATATTGTGCTGCTCTTGGATATAGAGACAGCAACCAAGACCTGGAACTTGAGACTCGGGTTTTTTTGTTCATTTGTTCATCTAATAAATACACGTAACTTTTTTGTTCTTGCTTTATTTTCATTTAAACAGTCAGGTAATTTGCCATCAACAGGGGACAGCAGTTTTCCCACTGAAGACTGAAAACGTAGAGTTGGCTTTGTCTTAGAAAAGCTCTGTTCTCTGGGGCCCTTACTGTTTGCTATTTGAACTCAAATACACTGGAAATATTCTCATACAACCCAGACAACAAAACTCAGGAGCCCACAGCAAGATCATTAAAAAAAAAAAAAAACTCCACCTGCCGACCTAGACTTTAGCACCTGATGTGACAGTCCGCTAGCTGATTTCTTCTCGTGCCGTAGGGCTGGCTTGGCAAATGTCTGTCCAGGCTCATCTAACCTTCTGACCTTCTGTATCAGGCTTACCAAAGCAAAAGTGAGGATTCTGGGGATTCTGATTCCTAGTGGCTTGCAAAACTCAGCAGTCTGCACTGTAGCACTATATCACTGTCACCTGTTGTTCATCAGTTTGCTCAAGCAGGCCCAGTAACGTCTCCATTGTGAGACTTTGTTGTTACTGTGCTTGGCATATCGAATACGTCACGGGGAGCTTGCCAGGCTTTGCTGTGCGGGCAAGATACTCTCGGTAGCTTGCTGGGCTCTCCGAGAGCGGGGAGAAATCCAACTTGGGTTGGCTGCATGCAAGGCAAGCGCCCTACCTGCTGTACTATTGCTTCAGCCCCTCCTGCTAAAATCTCCATGGACAGTGATTTTTAGTACCCTTCCAGAGCCCAGAAAATTGTACAGGGTCGCCAATGTTCTTGCTGATCCACCCAGCCTCATGGGCTCATGGAGGTTTAGACTAGGAGAAATGACAGTCCTCAGATTCAGCTGCTTCATTTCACACACACACACACACACACACACACACCCTCCCCCTCCCCCTTCCTCTCCCTGTCCCTCTCCCAAGTTTAAGAAATATCCCAAGGTTGCAGACCTAAGACAGGAACTCAGGCCTCCCCATTTATGATTCCTTTGCTATTGACTCCTTATAATTTTAATTTCAGACCATACTGACTTGATAGAACCTGAACGTTTGGTGGTGGGGGGAGGGGAGGGGACTATGCACTGATAATTTCAGCAATCTGCAAAACTTGGAGGTCTCCCAGGAAACACAGAATAAAACGTTTCAATATGGTGTCCTAGGGAAAGAAGGCTTTTGCCTCCACCTCATAATTAAATCTGAAAGAGTCCTACAGCGAACTAAGAGGTTTCTAATGAAGTACTAAGCTGCATTTAGAGTTTGAGCTATGAAAGGCTCTTTGTTCTCATTTCAAAAGGTTCCAGGGCTGAACAATTTGGCTCCCCAGCCAGGCCTGTGCTCCTGGACCACCTGCGGACTCTAATCTACGCAAATTTATTTGGTACAAACTTGCTTCTACGTCACTGTCACCATATTCCATTTAATTCCAGAGAGGGTTACTGCAAATGCTCCCCAGCATTAAAAGGAGAGCAGTGAAACTCTCACGGGGCCCGCTCAGACAGGAATAGGAAGGAAAATCGAGCTTTCGTAAGGTTCTCCCTGTAGGATGCTGCCTTGCCGCTGAGTGGCTCTGAGGAAAATCTCACCTGACATAGACCAGGGACTCTTGTATATACCTTTGTTTTTCTTTTTGGGTCATACCCAATGATGCTCAGGGGTCGCTCCTGGCCCTACACTCCAGAATGACTCCTGGCACTGCTGGGGGACCATATGGGATGCTGGGGATCGAACCCGGGTCAGCCGCATGCAAGGCAAATGTCCTACCTACTGTACTATTCTGTACCCAAGAAGCTCTCTGGGTTCAGAGAATTAGGTTAAAAATATATTAATGTTTAAAACATTCTCCAACGCTGACCTGAACCTTGCTGACAATGAGATATATTAGAAATAGACAAGTAGGAATCAAAGAAAGAGCTTAATTGTCATGAGTGTTGCTTTCTTCGTCTGACTTCTGTACTCTCGAGAACAATGGTACTGTGTGTGTGTGTGTGTATATATAATATATATATGTATATATCATCTGGTACTCACCTTCTATTCGTACTGTTAAAATAAATAACACATTGGCGTTTTATAACATACACCTAAGTCCATTTTGATGTCCTTTCAGAAAAGAAAACTTTCAAGAGGAGGAAAATCTACTGCCAGATAACCCAGCACCTCCTACAGAACCACAAGATGTGGAAGAAAATCATGGAAGAGGAGCAGCGGATGGCGAACCCCGAGAATCAGGCGCTGGACCAATCCCCTCAGCAGCACGCCTCGGAGCAGATCCAGGCCATCAGGGAGGAGGAGGAGGAAAAAGGGAAGCCTCGAGGGGAGGAGAGCCCGAGCCCAGAGCCGCAGCCCTGAGGGCGGACAGGACGAGCTGTGTGAGGGGGGGTGCTCCCACCCACTCTTTCGAAGCCAGCACATGCTTAGACACGACACTGTAGAAACATGGGAAGACGGACACGTGGCGAGCGCAGCAGGTGTTCTTGGGGCTCCTTGTGCTGCTTCGCAGTGAGGTACACGGTGAAAGACCCTGTCAGAGAAGCTTCACAGCGCAACACCAGCTTCTACGGATTTCTTTGTTTAAAGGAAGAACTAGATTATGTGTGTGTGTGTGTGTGTGTGTGTGTGCATAAGCGCTCACGTAGATAACTTGCAAAACCTATTTACACACAGACACACACAAACCCCCACCCCCTCCCAACACACACACAAACACACTAAAAACCAGGACACTGGCTCCACGATTTAGGAACATTCATATATTATTGGTCACTGTGATATAATAAGTCATAAAGGAAGAGAACTCGCGAAGGAAATGGTGTGGCTTAGCAGGAAAAAGAGGGCAGTGCACGTCGGTTGCAACTCAACTCGGGAGGTGTGGTTCTTAGCAGCGAGAGATGACGGTTCCAGAGCATTATTTAAATTCTCAGATAACCTGCCAACATCTGTGTGTGTGAGGGTGTGTGAGTGTGTGTGTGTGTGTGTGCGAGTGTGTGTGTGTGTGTGTGCGAGTGTGTGTGTGTGTGTGTGTGTGAGAGAGAGAGAGAGAGAGAAACAGAGGGAGAGAGACTGAGGGTGTGCCTCATGCAACTGTATGTTTGCATGGTGTAGAGAGGATTTTTTGATTTTAGCCATCCCTAGAGTCACTGCAGCAGATGATGGCATGTGCGCCAACAGAAGGAAACCCACTTGGGGGTGCCTTGCGAGGCAGCCATCGCAAACACTGTGCTCCTTTTGGCTTCCACGAGGCTCCCTCTGAGACCAGGATGCCCTCCTGTGCTGGGTGATAGGCCTGGGGACTGGCACCGGCCATCCCACCACTTGGAGGCGCTCTGTCACCAGCTTCCAACCGGGAAGACTGAGGCGATTTCCTGTCTTCTTGCCTACACAATGCCCTGGAACTGTTCGGGAATTCAGTGGGGGCTGTGTCTCCCCTAAGATTAAATCACTCTTGAAGGAAGTGAGCATTCTTCAGCCTAAACAGCCCGGGTGGACCTGGAGTCAGATCTTCTACTTAGCGCAGATTGGAAAAGGTTGCCAGAGAAGGCCTGGAAAATTGCTCGCAGTGATGACCTTCCATGTCTTCTTAACTGGCTGCAAAATAAGCGGTAGACAATTGAGAAAGAAAAGAAAACAAAAAAACAGCATGTGATGTCTTGCTTGGGGAGCGAAGGGGCTGGTGTCTGGGGATGGCTTTGGGTGGAGAAATCCCTGAGAGAGAGGCCTGCTCTGGAGTCCCACCCGCTGAATGGGGCCTTACCCCCCTCTCTCAGGCCAGTTGGGGCTGAGGGGATTATATGGGGGTTAGGGGACTGGGCCTCCAGTTCCTGAGAATCTTTTTGGTTTTCTTCTGTTGTTTTTGTTTTGTTTTGATTTTCAGTTTGTTAATCTACACTTGTTTATGCTGTGAGCCAAACCTCTATTTAAAAAGTTGATACTCACTTTCAATATTTTATTTCATATTATTATATTTGTCATGAATAGTTACCTTGATGTAAATATAAAATTTTTTTTCTGTAGATAGTAAATTTTTTTTTTAGAAAAAAAAGGGAAAAGGAAAACATTTTTATAAAGTTCTCTTTTAATCACCATTTTTATACGTGGTTGCAGTGAGTCTCCAAGCCCTTGGAGAGGGGTCATTCCCAGGATGCCAAGGTAGTTGCAGCCTCTCACCTCACCAAGTAGAACCGACCACCTGACAGTTACTCTCTGCCAAGTCAGTGAAGATACTGCAAAGAATTTTTTTCTTCACTAGTTACTTTTGCACACTTTGCAATAGCTTCTGACTCCCAAGTTTCGCAAGTGAACGTACTTTCTTAACCAAGACTAAAGCTTTCTAATTTGTTTCCATTTTTCCCCAACACCTTCAAGTTATAACTCTTCCTATGGGACTCCAAACCTTATCATCTAAACACTACCTTTGAAGGAAACATTAAGTATGATTCCAACTCTTCATTTCCTCTGAAGTCATAGGGAAAAAAGAAGGTGTTTACATTAAAAATAAATCTTTCTCCCAAATAGATATAATATCCCTTCCCAAGTTAAGCTTTTACAATCATGGCTTTTTTGTTGTATTTAAATAAGACAAAAACAAGATAAAATAAGCATGGCTGCAAGGCAAAATTCCCAATAAGTAAAATATATTTCTTTCTATATAAGTTCCCAATAATTAATTTTAAGTGTGTGCATATATAATATATATGTAGACACGCACAGACACACACACACATATTAAAAGGACCAAATAGACACTCCACCTAAATAAGAAGAAAATTTTGATATTTTTCTGATTTAACCCCAGATACTAGGATTTGTTGTTTTCTGTTTTCTCAGTATTGCCATGTCTGCTTGCAAAAATGACTGCAAGTCAATTCCATTTCCCGGGCGAGCTGTCCTTCTACCCTACAGATATGAGAAGACATAAAGCATTTCTATTCACATACCTCTTGGATCGAATTACCTACCAGATTTTCCCCATTCCCCCAATGCCATACCTCTCTAAAAGTAATTTAAGGTAAAAATGGAGGCCAGCTTGAGACACCTGGTTTAGAATCACACATCAGCAGCTTCTGTGAGGCTCTCGGCCTCAACAGAAATGGTAGCTGGTTTGAGTTTGATGGAAGGTGCAGGGAGTAATAGACGGGACCATGGCTGAAGCTAGTGGGACCTCTTCATTTCATATGTTCAACAGTCCGGGTAGAGAAGTTTCTCTCCAAAGACACGTGAGCAGTCTATAAAAGATAAAAGTCAGCAGGAGCAGTAGGTCAGAGGCTGGCCAGTTTTTGTAACATGCTTATGCGCCTGGTATGTCTGAAAGAGAGCCTGGGCCATTCAAAGAGATCTTTTCCTGTGGTCCTTGCCTCCTTTGGCAACGGTGTGAGGCTGTGCTGACCTCCAGCTCTGGAACCTACTTCCTGTGGTGCCAGTGGATTTGTTGCCAATTCCCATTTTTATACGAGCCTCTTCATAGGTGCCATGAGACAAACTCAGGTCTTTCCATGAAGGTGTTTCTAGTCCATTTGGGGATAACTATTGTTGATCATATATACAACCATAAAACCCATGGCAGAAGTGGGGACTGATCACCTTGAAGGTCGTGTCGGATCAATGTTGAGGAAATGACTGGGTATAACACCAGGACAAGTATCTGTGTCATGTCCAATCTGTTACTAGAAAAGTGTTCCAGTTACCTAAGCCAATCTTGAAAAGACTGTCTTCTTGGTGACAGTACCACTTTAGTTCTTTTCTTGTTCATTAGTTCTTTTTTTTTTTTTTTTAGCCTTTTGGTCCTTGAACTGGCTTTGCTCTCACTAGATGAAGACAATAGCTGTGTCCAAAACTGTATCTAGGTAGATCTTCACCTAAAAAGTAAAGGACTTTCCTCCTCTTCTGTTTAAGAAAGGATCCATTCTCTTGAAAACAAAAAAAAAAAACAACCACCCAGTTATGAGCCCAGTCCAGTGTTCCATTTTGATGGCATTCCGGAACAAATCCTAACCGCAGCCACTGCAATAATATGAAAGGGGATTAGAATCCGAGCCGACCAATCGAGTGGATGAATCTGTTATGATGGGTTTTCTCACCCCTGCCTCTCTCCATTTGTGACCCGCTGCTTTCCTGTCACTTTCCCAGAGGACTTTCTTTGATGGCAAAAGCTGTGCCAAAAGCAAGAGACTCAGGCCTATTCTTTGTTTAAATAATGGAAAAATATAAATTATTTTCTAAATAATAAAGATATGAATATTATCATTGTAAATAAAGTCTAAAGTTTGAAATGACTGCTTTACAAAAGTTCACTATTTGTCTGATTAAAAGGAACTGAATAACCCAAAAGCATTGCTATTTTGAGAGGGTTTTTGGTGCTTTCACAGAATACTGACCTCCACTGTCCTTATCACCCACAATATTTCTAAAATAGTAATAAAAATCACAATACAGATTGTTTTGTTCTCTCTGTCCTACCCCTGACTACTTTGTCTTTACCTTCATTTTATGCCTTTTTTTTCTTTTTTTGCTTTTGCTTTTTGGGTCACACTCAGCGATGCATAGGGGTTATTCCTGGCTCTGCACTCAGGAATTACTCCTGGCGGTGCTTGGGGGACCATATAGGATGCTGGGAATCGAACCCAGGTTGGCCACTTGCAAGGCAAACACCCTATCCGCTGTGCTATCACTCCAGCCCCCTTTTTATGCATTTTCTGGTTAACATGGCTTTTGGAAATAAATTGTCTTTTTAAATTGGCAGAAGACTCCAATAAAAGGCTTCTAGAAATGTTATCTAGAATAAATAAAAAATTCTTTTTATTCTAGAGATTTCTTACAGTTGTTTGTGGAAGAAAGAAGTCCATAAAATTTCAAATGCTAGTGGTTCATCTGTTAATAATTGAGAACTAAAATAACTACATTCTTTGAAACCAAACTAAATTTGTTCCATTAACCTTTTCTCCTAGTAAGCAAACATCCCGTTGTTCTAGTTCATTTATTTCTTTGATTTCTCCACAAAGTAAAACTACAAATTTCCTAATGTTGTCTGTTCATTTTTCTAATATTCTTAGAAAAATTAGGAGGCCAAATTAGAAGATTACGAAGCCAACTCTCTATTTCAGTTGAAAAGTGTTCCAAAGCTATTCTTAGAATTTTAAAGTCTCTATACTTATGTCAGTTTGTTCCTCTAGAAGGTGTTCAAACTCTTCATGAAAATTCATTTGGAGATGAATTCATGAAGTTATAAACATTTAACTTATTAAACTATAAAATTCATTAAATAAATATTAAGTTGATGTTTGCATAAATATTGTCTATTTTACACGTTTGAGCCATTTTAAAAGGAGAAACAAGCCTATTTCTTAGTTTCTGTCATGTACTATGTACTGGACAATTTGTGTGGTCACCTAACATTTCATTTGTTAAAATGATATTACTTATACCTACCTTATCTGAACT